CCACCTCATAAGTGGTCATGAGGATTAAATGAAATAATACGTGTAAAACACCTTAGAACTATGTCTGACAACTGGCAAATATTTAATTAACATTAGTTATTACTATTACTACATCTCTTCTGTGGTAATTCATGGTGGCATTTGGGAGCGGTCTCACCATTCAATGTAAGAACTACAACCCCAGAGAAATAAATAAAAAAGGAAATTGGTATTGACCTAATTCAGATAAAAAGTGATTGGTGGTAGTGAGAATATATAGAGAGATATTTCAATGTTAATTACACAGAAGGTGACGTCTTCTTCCTTATGCTCAAAAGTGGGAAACGGCATGCTCATGCCAAGCACTTTCCATGTATTTATCCCATGATCTCAGTGACAGGAGCATCATATCCTCACTTTACATATAAAGAAATTGAGATTCAGAAAAGCTAATTGACTATAACCCAAAGTCACACAGCTACTCAGTGGTGATCCCCAAACCTTTTAGGAAGAACTTGACACAGTTTGAAACATATCCTCCATCTTAGAACAAGAGTCCCTCACAGTCACCTCACAGTGACTCAGCCTGACCTAAACCTCAGACAATCATCATGCAAAGGAAAGGAAATTGTTATCTGGGACTGAAATCCTAAAAAACACCTGGTTCGAAATATGAGGGTGACACCCCAAGGACCCTTCCCTGAAAACTCCTAGGAAAGGCCCTAATTGCAAAATCTCCCCCCTCCCTCATTCCCCTATGACTACCTCAGGTTCTGAGTAAAGATGTGTCTCAGTCTCAAGTGGGCCCCACTCTGCAGGTTTGTCCTGAATAAACCTGTGTTAGCGTTGAGCTGCCTGTCCTCTGCCTTTATCTCCTTCACTCTGTTCTTTCCTTACAGTCTCTACCGTGTCTCTTGACTAAACAGAGAAAGCCCAGGGCAGGGAACATCCTTCTTTGGGAAACCTGGGGAGTCCCTTTTCCAGGGCTGCTGGCCAAACAGAGTAACTTTCAGCCTAATTTGACTTCTTCACTCAGTGACTTTCTGGAAGGGGACAGGAGTGCCAATTGTCACCAAACTCCTCAGACTTGATCTTCCCACTCTCTACTTGCCCCTGCCACACAGGCCAGGAAACATGGATCTCCTGGGACAGCCTGCCTCTCCCTTTCTCCAGGGCCCAAGCACAAGCCCTTTGCCCTGCCCAGCCCCAGGAAGCTGCCTGCCTTTATCTGTGTCTGTCAATACCTCTTCCCCTACCTTCCTTCCTTTTTCATTGTTGATCCCAATGTCTTGTCTACATTTTTTGGAAAAAAAAAAAAAAAGTGAGCTTGGGGGAGGGGGAAAGAGTAATTTCCAGGAATTGTTTCAGGACTGCTGCTCCTACTGCTTAGAGCAAAGCCTTGTGCCCCCTCCTGCCCAGGTTGGCAAAGAGCCTAGTCTCCTGCCCCTCCCTTTTTCCCTTCCTCCCAGCCTCTCTCTTTTCAGCTGCCCCCCTCCCCCCAAAAAAATACCTTCACATGAAAACTGTAGAGCTCTCACTTATTTCTTCCTGAGGGAACAGCTTTCCCTCTTAGCCTCTGCTCAAAGGAACCACCATGACTTCCTCTTGTTGGGCATAGGAAAAGACTGGGAGCAGGTGGAGGTGAGGCTGCAGAGGTGCATCTTCATATGCCAGGAAGATTTGAAAACCTAAGTGACAAGAGCCACTAAAATGCAGTCTTGAAAGGAATGGAAATGGCCATAGGCACAGTCCACTTGGAGAACAAGGGCTTCCCTGGAGGGATTTTAGTCTAGCAGAAGCTCCGTCTGCATGGCTCAAAGACATGAAGATGGAAGTGAAAATTTTCAGAAGCTTCCTTATTGAAAAAAGGAAGAAATGGGATAGAAATGGGATAGAAATTAAGAAGAGGGCTGAGGTTGTGACTCAACGGTAGAGCACTCGCCTAGCAAGTGTGAGGCCCTGGGTTCAATCCTCAGCACCACATAAAAATAAATAAATAAAACAAAGGTATTGTGTCCAACTAAAAAATAAAAAATAAATATTAAAAAAAGGAGAGAGAAAGAGAATATGTGGAAATGTCTGAAAAATTAAAGTAAACCATAGCTATGACAGATTTCTTGATCCAGAAGTGGTCTAATAAATAGAGAGGACTCAAGAAAATCTCAAAGCAAAAAACGATCCCCTCCATGGAAAAGGATGGGGTGATAATGGCATAGCAATGTGAAAGCACTTGATGCCACTGAACTGTGCACCTACAAGTTGCTTATAGTGTAAATGTTAATATTAAAGATATACACATATATACAAACAATAAAAAATCAAGTAGCAAACTTAACAAAATCCCCTCCTTGAGTAGATAAAATATTGTATGTATATATAGTAGAATATAGCTCAGCACAGAAGGGAATGAGGCAGACACAGGTTATATTGAGAATGAACCTTGAAAATATTATGCTAAGTGAAAAACACCAGATACAAAATGTCACCTGCTGTATGAGTCCATGTGTAGTATATATCCACACTAGATAAATCCATAGAGGTGGAGAGCAGGCTGGGGTCTGCATGTTTTCTTGGCCATGCTTGAGAATGACCCCTCTGTACCAGCCTTGGGATCTATGGAAAGGAAGGATGTCACCAAGTTCTGTGTATATAGGAAGCACCACAAGGGCATTGCTCTTGTGCCCGGGATTTCTCCAAGCTGCATAGATACATCAAGGACATTGTGAAGGACTACCAGTTTAAGAAACAGAAGATGCTATTCATCACAACCAAGGGCATCCACATGGGTTAATTCATGTCCTGCATCAAAAAGGCCCAGCTCAACACTGCCAATGTTCCTGCCAGGGGCCCCAAACCTGAGGGGACCATCATGTGCTACCTGGAAAAGCCTAAGGATCACAGCTAGCTGGCCTGAGCCTCTGGAACAGTACCAATTATTTACCACAACCTGGAGACCAAGATGCCAAGCATGAAGTTTCCCTTTGGCTCTATGAGGGTCATCTCCCGTGCCATAGGTGGCCAAAATGACAAACCCATCCTGCAGGCTAATGAGCTTACCACAAGTAATAAGGCAAAGAAGAACTGCTGGCTACCCATGTAGGATATGACCATGACCCTATGGACCATCCCTTCTGAGGTGGTAACCAGTACATGGGAAAACCCTCTTCTGTCCACAGAGAAGTCCCTGCTGGCCACAAAGTTGGTCTTGCTGCCAGACCAGTGTCTCCGTGGAACCAAGACCATGAAGGAGGAGAACAAGGAATAGTGGGTGACTGCTTAGTGGGTACAGGGTTTTTAATTTGGGGTGATGGAAATGTTGAGGACCTAAATTGAAATGGAAGTTGCACAATGTGAATGTACCAAATGCCACTGAATTGTACATTTTAAAATGACTAATTTTATGAGAATTTTACCTTTATCTCTTTAATCCCTTCCAGCCAACATACCCTTGACCCTACATCCTACAAAACAAGGGCCCAGGTTCAGGTGGCTCTACCACATGCACAATGAGATAGGCAACTCTCTTGGCCCTACAGAGGATGGAGAAGCCCATTTCCCGCCCCATAGAAGTACATCCTGGGTCTCTGGAAATGGCTAAGGTGAGAGTGCTCTGAGAGGAAGGCAGGTCTGCTGACACAGGATCTCACCAACACAAGCCCCTTACTCTATAGCTTTCAGGGAAGGAGAAGGGAAGTCTGGTCCCTCCCTCATACCCCTTTGCCCACCTTGCCCTAGTCACACACTGTGCCCTTCCCTTTCCTTCCCGTGGTGAAGTGTGGAGTCTTGGAGAAGACTATGCCCTTCTCCTCCCTCCCCATCCTTGAGTCTCCACTCCACGTTCAGACTTTTCTCTCCCCAGATTCTCACTTCAGATCACAGAATGAAGACAGGGAACTGGAAACCCTTGTGGGTGGAGTTGGGGTGGGTACAGGGAGACTGGGGGGGGGGGGTGAACTCGTAGGGACACCAGAGCCATTAAAAGCCTGACTGATTTTCAGATTTGTTTTAGCCCCCCCCCCCACCCCACAGTTCTGCTCTAGTAGAAATCAAGACAGACGGGAAAAGTGGGACTCTAAGCCAGCTCAGAGAGGAAAATAATCTTTTTTTGTGTGCCCTGCCCGGAGCCTTTTATTTTGGTGGCTCATTTAATTCTCACATCATCCCTCTTAGTAGGTACTGTTGTTTCCATTTTGCAGAGAAGAACTGAAGCTTATAGAAGTCAATTCATAGAGCTAGTAAGTGAAGCAGCTGGATTTTAATGCTTGCATCCTGACCTCCCTACTTGCTTTTTGCTGGGACGTCCCCTCTAACTGGATTGGGGGAATGCAGGAAAAACCCCAGCCCTCTCCCACAGAGCTTTAGCCAGTGACAGCTATTTCCCGGATGAAGGGCAGCCCTGAAGCCAGTAGCAAAGGGCGTCCCTGAAGCCAGGAGCCCCACAGCCAGGGTCCCTTCAGTCTCCTTGCAACTCCCTAACAGCCCAGACCTGCAAGACCTCCAGGACTAGAGGTGCATACACGGGAAATCCAGGTGAGTGTTGTCCCCTCCCAGGGAAGATGGAAAGCCAGGGCTTGAAGACAGATTTCCCAGGGGTAAATCAGAGGGGAGGGGTGTTGTGTGTGCACACATGCGTGTCCTCTCACACCTAATGCCTGAATGGCTAGACAGTGTGGAACCCTTAGTGAAGACGCACGACAAAGTGGAGAGAAGTGGAGGTTGGAGACGCTCTAGGGCTGGAGGTGGGATGGGACTGGCTGGGGCTGGGAAGAAACCTTGTTGGGCAAACCATCCTGGTCTCTACTATCCCTGAAATCCCTTAGCAAAATGTCTGTGCTCTTGGGCCAAAGCTGGCAACTCAAGGTTTGAATGCTAAATACCCCTTTCTTATTCCTTCTGTCCCAGAATCTTTCCCCAAGGGCCCCCAGCCCCTATGCCTTCTACCTGGGAGGCACAAGGCTGCTTTCAAGATTTCCTTTCTCTTCCCACCCTCTCTTCTTCCCAACAGGTGCTTGCAGGTCCTCATGTCAGTCAGACCCAGCTCGGGGCCAGGCCCCTCTGAAGGGCCCACCGCAGCGCCTGACAGTGAAGAGTTCCACAATTGGGAGGAATTGCTCTACTTCTTCAACCACACTTTGTCCGAGTGCCACCTGGAGCTCAGTGAGGACACCAAGAGAGTGGTCCTCTTTGTCCTCTACCTGGCCATCTTTGTGGTTGGGCTGGTGGAGAACCTCCTGGTGGTATGTGTCAACTGGCGTCGCTCAGGCCGGGCTGGGCTGCTGAACCTCTATATCCTCAACATGGCCATCGCGGACTTGGGCATCATCCTGTCCCTGCCTGTTTGGATGCTGGAGGTCATGCTGGACTACACCTGGCTCTGGGGAGACTTCTCCTGCCGCTTCACTCATTACTTCTACCTTGCTAACATGTACAGCAGCATCTTCTTCCTGGTGTGCCTCAGTGTTGACCGCTACATCACCTTCACCAATGCCTCTTCCTCCTGGCAGCATCGCCAGCACCGAGTGCGGCGGGCTATATGTGCAGGCGTCTGGGTCCTCTCAGCCATCATCCCACTGCCCGAGGTGGTCCACATTCAATTGGTGGAGGGGTCAGAGCCCATGTGCCTCTTTGTGGCACCTTTTGAAACATATAGCACATGGGCCCTGGTGGTGGCCCTGTCTACCACTGTCCTGGGCTTCCTGCTGCCCTTCCCTCTCATTGCAGTCTTCAACGTGCTGACAGCCTGCCGACTTCGGAGCCAGGGACAGCCCCAGGGCCGGCGGCACTGCCTCCTGGTGTGTGCCTACATAGCTGTTTTTGTCATCTGCTGGCTGCCCTACCATGTGACTCTGCTGCTGCTTACTCTGCATGGGAGCCACATATCCGTCCACTGCTACCTGGCCCACCTGCTCTATTTCTTCTATGACATCATTGACTGCTTCTCCATGTTGCACTGTGTTGCCAACCCCATCCTCTACAACTTTTTCAGTCCAAGCTTCCGGGACCGGCTGCTGAGTGCTGTTGTCCACTACCTTCCAAAGGACCAGGCCAGGGCAGGTGCACGGGCTTCCTCTTCTTCCTCTTCCACTCAGCACTCCATCATCATCACCAAGGAGGGCAGCCTGCCCACTGCAGCTGCCTCCCCCAGTCCCACCTAAGCCTGAACTTCCAGCCGCCCTCTGCTTCCAAATTTCTCATCTCTGTTTGGCAATCCCATAGGCAGCTGAGGTAGATTCCAGGCTCTTCCAGGAGTCGAGTAGAAGGCTGAAGAGGGAGGTGAGACATTTGGAGGGAGGGGGGAGGGAGAGCATCAGAATATTCATGGTATATCTGAAATATGGGAGAGGGAGAAGGGATGGGGAGGAATAGAGAACAGGTCCTTCCTTGGTGTTGTATTATTTGTTTTGGCCCTTGTGTCTAAGGGAGCAATGCAGAAAAAAAAAAAAAAGTGAAATAAATAATAGAGATAGCCATGGTCTGGATCTCTGAGAACTCTGCACTTGCAGCTGGGCTTGGGAAGGAAGCTGAGGCTAAGGGGATGCCCTGCATAGGAAACTAGACACATGCATTTCATAAATCATCCTAGCTAGAAAGAATGAGCTCCACAGGAACTTCACAAAACTTTCCTTTTGTTTGTGTGCTTGTTGATCTTCCAGCTCACTATGCAGGTTGTGGGGACATGAGGCCAGAGGTCAAGGAATCAGGAGGCCTCAGCAGGACATTCCCTATCTGTGCATGTCAGTGCAATGATAAGTGGAGGGGGATGGGGTCTACAGGGGTGGGGCCTGGGTCTGAGACAGGCACCCTGCAGCTGGGTCAGCAGGATAGTCTCTCCACCCTCCACCATCCAGGAAACAGAGTTCCATTTCCTTACTGATACCCTCCCCTCCCCCTTGTCCATCCTGCTCCTCCTCCCCGAAAGCAGAGGCACTGTTCCAGAGTCAATGCTCCTTGTAGCTTTTGATTTTGGACAATCTATCTTTCATGGAGACACAGAGCTACCAAAAATCCCACCACCATCCCCATCTCTTGCTTTCTCTCCAATTAATAGGAAAATATCCAGAGACATTCATTCTGAAGCAAACATGGTGACAGTTAGCAGCAGGTGCTGACAGTTGCTCCATCCCTCAGCCTTTGCCCCCCTACAGGGATGGGAAAGGCCAAAGTGGAAATTTCCCAGTTCTGTGACAGAGTAGAGCTCTAGCACAAAGTCAGTTCTCCCTGGCCAAGTCTTTTCATAATTTTCCTGCCTGACAATTTACACTTATTAACACTTGTTGTATAGATGGGGAAAGAAGTCCTCTTGTTAACAAGTAGGTCTTCTGGAAAAGGCTCACTATCAGTTTGGGAAACTAGGCCCAGGAACTTCAAGAACACTGACGTAAAAGTCTAAGAACAGGCTCTGGTTTCCGCCTTTCAATCACGAGTCACATCTTTGGCCTCTCAATCCTGCGTGGAGAGCTAGGGAGCTATGGATACAATTGCTGATCTTCTGTTTCCTCTGTTCTGCTCCAGAGCTCACTGTGCCAGGAATGTTTAACTTGGATTAACTACCCATTACCTGGAGGCCAAATACTCTACTTTTGGAAATCTCAACTCATATTCAGCAGATGCATTAAACATGTGCTGCAATGGCGGATGCAGCCCAGGTCTGTCAGGTGCACAGAGGGAAACCTGTATCTGCCATTCCCTGATCACTTGGCCCAAACTGGAGAGGATCTTAAGCTACACATAGAGAGAAGACTTTCTGAACAAGGTTTCTGGGTTGTTCTTGGGGATGCGATAAGGGCTTAACCTAACAATGCAGAAATGGCAATATAAAGACTTTCTTCCCTTATCCCTACTTAGAAAGCAAGCCAAGATCTGATGACCTTATCACTAACTGCTTTGTCTTGGGCTCCAGGACCTTTCTGAAGGAAATCCAATTTTACATGTGTCACATCCCAAGTCACCACAGAGGCCACTTCCCCCAAACTTGTTATCACCCTGGCAGTAGGAATACTTCCTTAGAATCTTTTCACCCATTGAAGGGAAGGCTAGGAACTGACTATGCTGACTGTGACAAGACTGTTGTGCTCAGCAAACATTTACTGAGCAACAATGACAGTTGAGCCTGGGCCATGTGCTCTGGGACCAACAGTACCACATCACTCCCTACCTGCTAGGGGTCTGTTTCTTCTGTGTTAACTTATTTGCATCAACCTCAACAAATTATGCCAAACCTTTCCCTCCTCCCTATTCAAATCTTCCTTCCCCCTCCCACTTTCCATCTGCCTCTCTCCACTCAAAGACATACTGCTTCACCAAGAGATAAGTGGCCATGGTAAGACAATTTACAACTGAATCACTTACTTAGTAAGGTTAGTCCAACTAGACATCCATAGTCTCACTGCTCTCTCTCAGTTTGACAGAAGAGGCCCTCAGGGACGTCCCCCTGAAGAGGTTGAGTTTTTGACTTAAGTTCCCACTCAAAACTGGTCAACAAGCTAATCCTGGGGGATTCCAACTACAGGAAAGGAAAATGTGCTACCTGAAAGAATTCTGGTGTGTACTGAGCCAACATGTGTTACTGAAAGAGTGATGAGCTCAGATATTCTGAACTCAAGGTATGAACATGTTTGTAGTACACAGGAAGCAAACTCTCATTTTAAATTTCTTCTTTTTATTATTCTAAATAAAAACCACACTTTGTGCTGAACAATGGAATATAAAAGAATCAGATGTACAACGATTTTAAACATCTACTATTTGGGAAAAAAAGTTTACAAAATATACAAAACTTTACAGCAATAGATAGTAAACACTTAAATATTAGGAGGTCAGTACTTATTAATTTAATGGAAGGAGTTAGATGTCAACAACTTTTTTCCGTTTCTTAAGAGACTTTAGCTATTAGAGATGGAGGGAATTGGAAGGGTTGGACAGGGGAGGGTGTTAAAGAAACATCAAAATCAAATATTTCATTTTAATTCAGATGTTAAGTTTATGATGCATAATCACATTATGCTATGCACCCTGCTTCCTGTCTCATTTGGTACAGGATTTAGGGAAAAGGACATGTGGGGACTCCCAGATGGGCACAGACTGCTCCACACAGTCCACTCCCATGCCAAAAAATTCAGTGTCTGTCTACAAAGGGATTTAATTTCACTTTCAAAGTTGAGTGGTCTGGGGAAAAAGAGCACAGCAGGAGGCCAGAAAGAGGGGGGCAGGAATAATCAGTAGCAAAAGCCTGACTGGGAAAAAAGGCATTGAAGCCAAAGATTTGTCCTGGAGATAAAGGGGTGCTAATAGAGGAGAAAATAAGTGAAAAAGAATTTTTACCCATTTCTTAGTTTTTAGGGGTTGTTTGGGCCCAACACCCACCTTACCTCCTTTTTTTCCAACTAGCCGTGAACTAAAGGGACTCCCTGGAGTCTTAAAATTGAGGACCAAATACTGTTCAGCAGAGCTCCCAGTGGATGCTGTGGCATCAATGAGCCATCAAGTCACTGGATGCCAGGGTACTGATCCCCTGTTCTGGCCACAAGCAGACTCCACAGTTCATCCCAGCATGCCATACAAGGATTGCTGTTTCCCTGGAGGAAACAAATCAGCAATGGCCTCAGATTTGGTTTAATGCTGTACAACTGCCATCTTGAAATTCCTAACAATTTGTGAACCAGAGGGCTTTGCAAATTATGTAGCTGGTCCTGAGTACAGATCAAGAAAAAGGGAAAACAGGTAAAGAGAGAACATTCAAGGGTCAAATAGAATTTCAGAGCATTACAGAAGGGACAGTGCTAAACTGGGTTCCTGGAGAGAGGGGGCAACACAATCAAATGAGCATTAGGTTGAAAAATAAAAAAGGCAAAATAAAATGAATCCCTTTCACTGGGTAGGTATCTTACAGTGCCCTTTGTCACAATATAGTGTTTCAAGTAAAACTCAGAAAAGGGTGAGCTAGAGGCAGAGGAAGCACAGACGGGGACTTCAGTGTGACTTCACACAGAAGGGGAGTTCAATGTGAATACAGGGGACACCCAGCAGGGTAGGGTTTGGTCAATGAGACTCATGATCTACTGATCCTGTTGCTACATATCTGACTGGGACCAACTGGGCCTCCCTGATCAACCATTTAGCCTTAGGGGCATCAGAGGGTGCAGTTTTTTTGTTTAGTGTTTCAAGGGCAAAGTTTCAAGGAACTGTTTTTTGGTTCATTGGCAAAAAAGGAAAACTTCACAGTTTCAGGTTAAGTATACAGACCACCCAGCATCCACCATGCCTGTTTTTTTTTTTTTTTAAAGGATTTCTCCAGCATGTTTATCTACTTTTAGCTATCTGACCTGTAAGTACTATTTCTCTCAAACTGACCCCTCAAAACTCAGTCCTCACCAACAGTCTGGGAGTAACCATCATGCTTGAAAAGCTTGGCAGATGATTGACTGTGGCCTATTACGTGTCCCCTTCTCAAATTCCTAATGGTCAGCATAAGAAAGTGAGAAGACAGTCAGGAATGAAGTCTCAGAACTTCTCTCCTGAGAATGTCCCAAGTTGGGTTTAGATGGTAAAATGTCCCAAGTTGGGTTTAAAGGTGAGCCTTTAACTGGACAGTGTGCCTTGAAGTGGCACATAAAAGTCTCCTGTCATCTAGTGAAGGACTGGAGATTCCTGTGCTCCATTCTGAGGCTTCCTCAATTCCAAGCCAGGGAGAGAGGCAGCAGGCCTATTAGAGACAGAGCTTTGGTTTGGCCATGTTTCTTAATACAAACAAAGACAGGAGGGTCTCTATGTTTAGAAAGGATAAGAAACTGTAAAAAGGTCCTTCCTGTGACTTGATCCTCTCAACTCAATCCCCAATCTACACCATCTCAGGATGGAAGGGGAATGAAAAGTCTGGAAATTTAACTGGCCCAAACTTTCTAGAACTTACCTAAAGGGCTCTGTGTATTTATTCTGCTACAGACATGTGGAGACAAGAAAACTGACTTGTTTAAAAGGCTTGGACACATTCTCCCTGATTATACTCCTATTCCCCAAATCTCTGACCAGGACTATTCCCTGGAATATGGCTACTTGCTGGGGAGAAACTCATTTTCCTGAACTCTCTTATCCAAAAGAGATGCTGGGTAATATGCATACAAAAACAAAAAATAAATAAATATTAACATCCAAAAAGGCTTTGTGAGTTAATTAGCTTGCTTGTGAAACAACCCGGGTGTTGCTAAGTCCCACCAGGGGCAGTGTCAGGCGAGGCCAGGAACTCCCAGAGCTCGCCTAAACAGGGTGAGGTAGTATGAGCTACTGAGGTGCCACCTCGTTGAGTATGCAAGACTGAGGGCCCTCTCCCTCCAGCCTTCTTTGGGCAAGACCCCTTCAAAGACCAACTAAAAATGAAGCCAAACAGCTACATGGACTGGGTCACCCAGGAGGGCCTGAACCAGCTCCACCCAACAGCGCCCCCTGAAGGTGATGCAAAAACAGATCAAGATCAATTCCAGCAGGTCAAAGGTGAGCTGCCAAAGCTCCAGCACTGTTAGAACAGAAGTAAACAACAGGTTACCCGACTGAGACAGTCAGAATGCACACCCTGCTACATACCACCAGTTACTCAGGTCCCTTTAATCCTGAAGGGATCACAATATACCACCACTGCACACCTCCTGGGTCTTCCCATCTATCCTATAGGCCAAACCCTTCTGGGTGGGAAACCGATGTAAATTAAGGCAAGGTTGCTGCTGTCAGACCTCCCTCTCCTCTCCACCAGGAAACTCAAGGTCACTAGAGGCTACCAGAATAACAGATGATTATATTCCCTTACTCTCTGCTCCACAGGGAAGGCCTGACATCTCGGCCATCATTCCATGTTGTGTTTCTTTGGAAATGAGGAGAAAAGAGAAGCCTCCTCTCCTGTCCATCCAGGTTGCCACTGCTAACAGCACTACAGGACACCCCTTCTGCTGGCAAAGAGTCATCCCAAAGCTTTCCAACATAAATAGAAAGCTTTGTCCCCATTTTGGATCTAGTTGTCAAAAGATTTTCACTGTCCAGTCAGCAGATTAGAGCTATGGAGCAGGCAGGTACCTCCATCTCTGACAACTTTCCCCTGCTAAGGGCTAGCTCTGGAACCTGAGGTGAGCAGCCCCCCAGCTAACCAGTCCCTTCCAAATGACCACATTCCCCAAATCTTTCTCATAGCTGGTCATCCTAGTTGGAGGTCTGGCTATAATAACCACAGTGAAAACCTCTCTCCACATCCTCTCCAGTGAGGCTGTTGGTTGGATTCTTAGCAGCATGAAACCTAACAGTAAACTAAAACTAGACAGGCTGGGGAAAGGGATCTAGCTGCCATAAATGCTTGACTAGATCCCAAAACCAGCCTCAAAAGAATCAAAAACAGCCCTGTGTGGGCAAGAACAGGTATGGAGGTAAATGCAATAGGGCCATTGCTTCTCAAAAACAGTCACAGCTTATGTGCTATTTCTTTTTTTTTTTCTCCTTTAAACACAACACAGAATAGAATTCCTAGCAAGGCAAAACTGTAGCACCCACTGAGGAGGGACCAACAGCCATTAGAAAATCACTACCCTGGCTGCCACCTGGAAGCTCCCCACTGGCTCTACTGGGACCAGTCAGCTATCTGGGGTCTTTTCGGCCTCTTTGGAATGGATAATGTACATGAAGGTTTGCTCGATGGTGAAGTCAGGTGGCAGGCTGCCTTTGTGCACACCAACATGTTTGCTCATGAGGTTAAGGGTAGAACTGTAGTGGCCACACACAGTGCAGCGGTACATGAGTGCCCCCGAGTGTGTCTTGAGGTGGCATTTGATGGTCGAACGGCCTCGGAAGAACTTGTGGCACACCTTACACTGGTATGGCTTCTCGCCTGTGTGGATCCGACGGTGGTAGTTGAACTCACTTGTATGGGCAAACCTTTTGCCACAGACCTTGCAGCTGTACTTGCTATTCCCAGGTTGGCCCTGCAGAGCCAGATCCTCACTCAGGAACTCCTCTGCTGGCAGCTTCCGTTTCTGGAGGGCTGAGTGCTGTAGCCCCAAGCCAGGCCTTATGTCAAGGCTGCTGTTGCACTTGTGCTGGCTGACATGGTAGCGATAGGCAGCCTCAGACCTGAAGCTCTGGCTGCATAAATGGCAGCGGAAAAGGGCATCTTCTAGGCTTTGGTGCACAGCCATGTGCTTCTCTAGGAGGTGCCAGTCCACAAAGCTGCTGGCACAGACAGAGCAGGAGAAGACCGAAATGCCCAAATGGGAGAGTGTGTGCCACATGAGGCTGCAAAGATTGAGGTGGCGCTGGTCACAGACACTGCAGACCTGTCCCTTCAAGTTCAGATGGTCGAGGATATGTCCTCGGACCACATGGAAATCTTTGGCCAATACTTTCCCACAGGCAGCACATTTCAAATCTGGTGAGGCTGTCCCTGAAAAGAGACCCAGCTTCCCAGGCAGGGGCTCATTGGGATGAACAATGATGTTGTTCTCAAATATTCCATCCCGTCGGTGAAGAGTTAGCTGCCACTGGGTGAAGAACTTTGTTTCACACATGTCACAAGAGAAGAGGAAAATACCAATGTGGGACAGGACGTGGGTCACCCGAGAGTTTCGGTCCTGGAAGTGGGTCTCACAGACCTTGCAGTTACCTGTCAGCAGGTCCACATGGTCCCGAGCATGTTGCCGGATCAGCTGAATGTTGGGCTCTAGAACTTTCTTGCACACCTGGCAGGGCATAGCTTTATTCTCTCGGTTGTCATTCTCTCCAAAAAGTTCATCCTCACTGTCATCACTCAGTTCGATCACCTCCTCAGCTGTCCCAATCTCCTCAGCAGTGTCTTCAAACTGCAAGTCATCATCTCCCAGGTCCTCTAGCTGGAGCTCATCCATCTGCCCAAAGCCTGGATCTTTGGAGTGTTCACTATTGCTCATACAGGAGTTGGTCCCAGTGGTAATGTCTATTGCATTGTCAGGGGTGAAGAAGCTGTTTTTACTGAAATCTCCATTGCTTTGAACTTTGTATGGCTGGCAAGAGCTCGTGTTAGTCTGGATACCTGTGCTAACAGTGCCTAGGACTGGCTGGGTCACAATACTAGAAACAGATGTGAAAGGAGTAGAGACATCATGGTCTTCTGTCTTTGGTGGCAATGATGGTTGCGGCAGAGGCAAGCCATGATTAGCATCACTAGCAACATTTCTTTCTTCCTCTTTATAGCTTCCTCCCACATCACTGGACAACACATAGTTTCTATCAGGACCAAAGTGCTCCCCACCACCCCGGAGTTCTCCAAGGGAATGGGCAGGATCTGCTGAGGGACAACTCAGGGTGCTGGACTGGTTGTCACTGGTACTAGTCAGAGGCTTTGTCACAGCAGTGCTCTCGAGGTCAGGAAAGGTGGAATGACAGGCCCGGAGGAGGTCTTCCATGCCCAGACGCTCAGCCACCTCATAGATAACACCAACGTTAATCAGGTCTGTGAAGAGCTCTGATGTATAGACAAAGCTCAGAATCTTCTCAAAGTTGGCAGGAGTAATGAAGTCTACCACATAGGTCCTGGCAGCATCAAGTCCAGTATTCAGGAAGAGGTTCTGGAAGTAGCCAGCTGCACAGGCCAGTACGGCCTTGTGGGCCGGGAAGGAGCGGCTCCCCACCACAATGGTGACATCGCACATGGTCTCTGAGAGCCGACACTTGTTGAGTTCCTTCAGCAGGTTATTAGGGTGGTTGGTGCTTTGCAGTTTGATCCTCATGCCCATCTTAGCAGCTCCTAGGAAGTTGCCTCCTTATCAGCACAGTTAATCTGTAGACAGGAAGAAAAAAAGATGGATGGCCAAACACATCCCTGCATGAGAGGGGGCTCTGCAGGAGAAAATCACATCATATTTTTAAAAAATATTTTTTAGTTGTCAATGGACCTTTATTTTATTTATTTATATGTGGTGCTGAGAACTGAACCCAGTACCTCACACAGGCTAGGCAAGCGCGGTACCATTGAGCCACCACCCCAGCCCCAAAATACCACCATATTGAATGCACCTAAGTCCCAAGGAAGAGGATAAATGGACATGGACAGCTGTTCTATTCTTCTGGGGGCAAGGACAGCAAAATGGTAAGACAATGACCTGTCCCCCTGCATAAACACCCAAACACAGAATCATGATAATAAAACCTAAATCAGAAAAAAAGCTGATTCACTCCATCTTAAAAGTCAGAGAGGTTGTAGGCCTCAAGTTAGTGCCTTACAGCTAGACAGAAGGCATTCCTTTGAACATAATCTTATATTTCATTACCACAGCAACTAGCTCAAAGTTTTCTCACATTAATTTCCTCTTAAATACACTGTGCTATCTCAGTAATTCTATTTCCTCTTGATGCTAAATGCCATGCATATACTTAAATATAATTATCAAAGCTCCATTAGCTGCTGAGGAAGAGATAAGGGTGTTCTCTTCTGTCATTTCCGTGTTCTTTCAGACTCTATATACGTCTCACACTCATGAATTCCCATCTTTCACTACCTACACTACATGCCTACTCTCTAGCCCTATAACCCAGAGTTATTACAGATGCTGGTCTACCACATTCTCTGTACTTATTCTGTGGATGAAGTTTAAATACTAAACCAAAGAGGAAAGCGAATTAGAACACAACTGTGGTAAATATTACTTCCATACGTTTCATTTCTTTTTACCAACATTTACCAGGTTTATGCTTATGTTGACACTATACTAACAGATTTACTCAATGCCTTTAAGAGAGGCATCTAATTACGTAGGTAAGACTCCTGCAGGCTAGTTCAATATCACTTTTTCCCTTTTCAGCTCCTGCACACCTAAGTTGCATGCTTGTTCAGTCTCAAGACTCGCCCTGCGCAGTAAAACCCCTTTCTCCATTTCACAGATTCCACCAATAACTCCCAACTTTTTCCGGGCCCAGCAAGCTTCTGAGTATTGTTGGGTACCAGCCACGCATCTCTCAGGCCTTGGCGGCCACTCATCCACGGTGGACAGGTCAGGGCACTGGGCAGCCTGAGCCGAGACCAGAGTGGGAGATTCGGAACTTCAGGGGAGGACGCCCCAACAAACGGTGGCACCGCGGTCTCCCCCACGGACGATAGAATCCGCGCGGGCAGGGCATTGGACTGGACAGGGGCACTCCACCTGAAGGACCCCGAGCGCCAGCGCCCCCCAACAAACAGCGCGGGGTCCACCCCGGCGACCCTGAGTGGGAGGCGGGGTGGGCGCGGAGCCGAAAGGGGCCACAGAACGGCTGCCGGGCCGGCGCGGAGGCGCGCGGCGGAAGGATGGGGCCGGCCAGGAGAGCGGGCAAGAGGAGCCCAAGGAGAGCGACAGAAAGGCAGGGCCGGGGTCGGGCTCGGCCAGGGGCAGCCCTAGCCCGGCCGCGCTTACCCGGCTCCGCGGGGCCCGAGCACCATCGCCGCCACCGGCTCACACAAAGGCCCCGGCCCGCCGTACCCGGCCCGACGAGGAGGCGGCGCCGCCGGCCGCGGCCAGACTCTCCATCCGCCGCGCCACTCGCCGCGCCGGCCCGGGCCGCCCCCGCCGCCCGGCCCGCAGCGCCCCCCGCCGTCCCGGAGGAGGCAGCGCCCCCCGCCGCAAGGCCGCAGCGCCCCCAGCCGCCGGGGAGGAAGCAGCGCCCCCTCACGGCGGGGCCGGGAGCCTGCCTCCGCGCCAAGACCCCAGGCCTGGCCTTTCCAAGAGCAGATCCAAGACTGGAAGATCACCTACTCTTCGCCTTAGCGGCTGGGGAGTGAAAAGCCCGATCAAAACTCATTTTGGATCTGGTAGTCCAAAAGCTTCTCAGAATGTCCCCTGTTGCAGTTTTACAAAACATTGAATGCTTTCTGAAGACAGCTCCTGACTTCATCTCCGCTCTTAACCACACTCCCTGGTAGATGCTTAACAAAGCCTGTGTGAATGATTCAAGGAATGAATGAATGAAGGAGCACTTGAGGGCTGGACCACTGGTGTCCCTCATTCCACTGATGACCCACTACTGTCCCTCCTTCTGTGATAATAGGAGCAAATATGACTCCATTTTGTTTTTTGACTTCATCCTGTAAAACAACCATGCCAAGTAGAAGAGTCATGACTGGGGCAAGATCTTCTTTTCCTTTTGCTATAGAAACCTTTAAGAACATAAAACTACCTAATGGGGTATTGTTTCTGTAACTAGGGTAATGGGGCTCTGTTTCTGTAACTGGGGTGATTGGGCTAACTGATTGGTTAGGCTTCCCTCCGCTTGACTGCACTGTCCCGCTTCTGTAACATGGCTTGCTTGCATTGGCTAGACCCCCCCAAAATCACTTTTGCGGTTTTCAGGCTTATAAGGAGCGCCCTTGGAATTGTTCAGGGCTGGTCAGGGGAACAGCTTTATGTTCTGGTCAGCTGCCACCGGTGTGCTTCAATAAAGGCTTGATTTGATTATACGTGAGTGGTCTGGAAGTCAGTTTATGAAACCCTGGGACGAAGCTTTAACTATAACACTTCCACTTAGCCAGATGAAGGAAGTCACAGAATCCATTGCACCCTGGAAACCCAGGCCAGTCCTTGAAGCCTGTACTTCCAGAGTCTTTATAGAACTCCATCACTCTGCCTTCTCAGCATTCTAAATACTCTCCTCAGATGTGCCTGTCCAAAAGTAGCCCTCAAAACAAAACAACCTACCCTGCCTGCCCTCCCCACAACCGCCTCCGAGACTTTGGAGGTCTTGGTTACCCCACTCTGTCTCCCAACAAGGAAGAAAGGTCCTGGCTCCAGGACCCTTCTGTTTCATCCTCTTTCTGGTTTCCTCCTGTCCACTGCCTAAAGATAACCCTCAGTCAGGCACAACCCCTCAGGACAGTCATATGGTAGGGTTCTAAATTCCCTGATGAATAAATTAGAAGGAGGGAACACAGGATCTTGCCAACTGATCTAAGCCAAGTTTGGCCATTTGGTGATGGCATGTTCTCTTGATGAATTTGGAAGATCATATGTCTTCATTTCCACAACCTCACTAACTGATGGTTGATAGTATTGAAAGGAGGCACTGTACCCCAAAAATGTAGCATTTATTAGCTAGAGGGCACAAAAACAGCCATGCAACCCGATCTTATGGTTTGGGGCTGAGGAATTCTATTTTGCCCTCTAGTAAAAGGGTCACTTAGAGACTGATGCAGTCGATGTTCTAATGGAAAGCCCAGCCCCCATGACTAGGCAGGTGAAAGAACTCACACTGGTCAGAAGATTCCAGACCTCCAGTACAATTCTAGAGATGCTAGGTGAATGACTTGCAAGGGCCATGGTTCAATCTTCCTAACCATCTGCTTAGGCCATCTCTGGAGTGTTGACTCCAGTAAACTTCATGAACTAGCAACCACCCGAAGGATGCAGGTGAAAGTTTATGCTGTTTATACTCAAGTATTTTTATTTAATTTATTTATTTATTGGTACCAGGGATTGAACCCAGAGGCACTTTGCCACATTCCCTAGCCTTTTTTTTTTTTTTTTCGAGACAAGTTCTCATTGCTTAGGGCCTCGTTAAGTTGCTGGGCTGACTTTGAACTCATGATCCTCCTGCCTCATCCTCTTAAGCCACTGGGATTACAGGCTTGCACCACCATGCCCTGTTGAATATTCTTTTTAAAATAAAGCACCACACAGTCACAACACCACTCATACAGAATGCTAAATGGAGAAGAAAGAACCAGGAACTTAGCCAAGGTCTTCTTGAATGGGTCTACTCTAGTATCAACCTCTTCACAACTAACAGCAAAAGGAGGGTCAAAATCCCTTCACACATTCTCTAAATTTAAAAAGAGAAACTTGATTTAAAATTTGTCTTCATTTTTCCTGCAATCTCCAGTATTGCAATTTTTGTCAGCCCCACCAGAGAGCAATCTTTCTGCATTTATACTCGTACTTGGCAAGCAATTATCTCACCTCAGCATATATGCCTGACTCCAAGTCTAAGCAGAATCAACTGTCAAAGTTTCCATAACCCAAAGGAATTCTCCATATTCCATGAAAATATCCCCTTTGAAAAGTGAGAGGTGCCTCACAGGAGAAAGGCTCTAGGATCTAGAGTGGGGGGCATCCTTTGACCTCTGCTATGAAGGGGGTTCTCTCTCTCCTTTCCCCATCCACATCATGCAACAACTGTCAATCTAAGGTGACTCCAGTCAGGTTCTTGGAAGACAAAACATTCACTAGTTTGAAAGAACTACCAGAAATGGCCTCTGACTCCAAGATCTTGTCCTGATGCCACCTTGGGAGAGCTGAATGTCAGCTTTATATTAATGCAGTTGGGGGGCACAACCAAGGCACCTGAACCACGTTAAGATTGGGGAGCCTGAGAATTTCCCAGGATATTTCATGGGTACAGAGACCCCCTGGGATCAGTAGGCTGTGAGCACTGGCATATCAGATTAATGAAAGATACCCACACCCTCCACATTAAGTGCCTTTACACATTCTGAACTACTAGGCCAGTGCTGCAGGGGCTAATAACAGGCACATTATAGAGGAATATGAAACAAATGTTTTCCCCATTAATGCTAAAGATTTCTGCTCCTCTCTTTCTGGGCCTCGGTAGTCACTTCTCTGTCCACCCTCCATTCCAGCCAGATCAAGTTCTGTTTGTTTTTCTTTTTTCTTTTTGTACTGGGTATTGAACTCAGGGGCACTTAACCACTGAGCCACATCCCCATCCCTACTTTGTATTTTATTAAGAGACAGGGTCTCACTGAGTTGCTTAGGGCCTTGCTAACTTGCTGAGGCTGGCTTGGAACTTGAGATCCTCCTGCCTCAGCCTCCTGAACCACTGGATTACAGGCATGTATCACTATGCCTGGCTCTGTTTGCTCTTCCACAACCCTGCTAGTCTATAAAATCTGTGTACAGATCACCATCTCATCTCCATGGTCTGTCACAGAACCTGTGCTCCATGTTTACAGATATTAAGATGGTGCAGTACTATGGACACATCTTCTTCTGTAGCAGTGTGCTTTGCACAGCCTCGATCCTACCTCCCTCTCTAATTAAACAGTGTCAATTCAGGGACTAAGGTCTCCCAGGTTTATCTTAGAAATATACACAAAGGGCTGGGGGTGTGGCTCAGCGGTAGAGCGCTTACCTCGCACATGCAAGACCCTGGGTTCCATCCTCAGCACCACATATAAAAATAAACAAGTGAAATAAAGGTGATGTGTCCAACTACAACTAAAAAATAAATTTAAAAAAAAAGAAATATACACAAAATCAGAATATTTGGTTTTTTCCTTATCTGAAGCTGGTCTGTGAAAGCCTCTGAGTGTTAAAAATTATATTCTAAATTCATATATTTATTTTTTAACCATTAAATAAATCTAATAGTAATTGTGTAAAGCACTATCAAAGGCACTATTAGGGCAATTGATATGTGTACAAAATAAAAATACTTCCATTTAAATATATGTATCATACACAGGTATATATGTATTTATAATGTAGCTGGAGAAAAGGAAAAGAATACATCACATCACTCATACGTAAAAATTCTTTATTATTGGGGAGTAGAGAGAGACATTATATTTTTAATATAGGATGCTACAGAAACAATATTCAATCTACAGAATCTACAATCAATGACCATTGGGACTGGTGTAGTTTCTTTGCAGTTTCCACATCAGGCTGGGGTAGAAGAGTTGGGGAGGGTGTCAAAGCACAAGAAAGTTACAAGGATGGGGAAGAAAAAGGGAAAAAGGAGAACGTGCACCTGGCATCACGATAGGGGACAGTGTCTTCATGATGCAGCCCAGGGGTCCAAAAGTGGAGTGCTAAGGACAAAAAAACAAAAACACAAATCACATCTATGTTCTGTGAAACTCCCACTGACCACCTGCTGGGGAAGCAGGGGACAGGGAAGGGGCATTTGTAAAGGAGAAGAGACGGGAAGTTTTACACCTCAGTTTCACTGCAACCTTTAGACAGAAAGACTGGACCTCTTAATATCAGGTGCCTGCCCCTTCCCTGCTGCCCATCCAAGGTACCAGGTGCTAGTGCTCCCCCTGCCTTATTTAGTCCTTCCTTTTCCCAGAAACATCCCAGAGAAAGGATGGCACACAGATTACTTCCTTTTCCAACAGTTTCATGTGAATGAAGAAGATGATACAATGATCTGTGTTGATCCATCTCATCTAATCTCCTCTAAACACCAGCCTTCAGGGACCTTCCGTCCTATTCTGCCTGGCACCTAACAGGTTGAGAATGCTTCATCAGTGCTGAGATTATGAAGGCTGCAATTATGGGCCTGGTCCCTCTGAAAGAGCCTGGATTCACCAGCAAACATTAAAAGTAGATTTCCACAATGCACTTGTTTTTGCCATTTGTATAAAATACTATGGCAAAATTGCACTGTAATTATCTTTATGGCCGGTGCATAACGCTGGAGGAGAGTATGTCATCCAGATATAGCTGCCCATATAATTATCTGGCCGACGGCAGGACTGAAATAACCATCTAATGAGAGCAAAATG